TAAACACATGATGAGATTGGTCATCAAAAGTGTTTCTCAAAGTGATATGGAAGTAGCAGAACTTTCTAGACTATCAGTTGTCACCCTGAGGTTGTTATTACACAAGTGCCACGCTAAAAGGAAGTCAGCTTTGTTGAGTCTACTTTGGTTTTTATGACCATACCATGTTGTAAGGTGAGCCATGGTTCTGGAATTCTCTTCAGTGACTGACAGGCCATTGAGCACAGCCAGGAGCAGGAGAAGAGCTAATGTGGCTAAATTGAGCGTCACAAAAACAACCACTTAGTGATCATGTGGGCAATCTTGTGGGCCACCTCAAATGCTAGCCTCTTAGCGTGTGGTGCACCAAGGGACTGTCTCTATCCAGCAAGTGACATTGTGAACAAAGAAGGGACAGCAGAGCTGGCTTCCTGGACTTTCATTGTCTTCTGTCTACCTCTACAGGGCTGGCTCTCCAGGCTTCTTTGAGTGTTGGTAACATGGGAGGAATGACTCTGTGGGTCACACTACTTTCTCTTGGTGACCAATTAAATGATCCTTTTCCTAAATGTTCCTTATATGGTGCAAATTGTCCTTTGGCTAAAGTTATTTCTGGTCTTAGCACATTGTGACCAGATACCACTGCCCTCTGTTCCTTTTCTATCTCATATAAGACTTTGTGGGATTGTTCTCTGTGCCCTGCAATAAGTTGGGTTTTCAGTGGATGTTTCAAATGTGTGAAGAAGGTGGTTGGCTGTGCTGGCACAGTCTGATGTGCTGTCCTTGGTGTCTACTTTATGCTGCCAGTGCTCTCATCCGCTTACTATTGCCCTCTTACTGCCAGGGCTGATGACAGATGCCATGGCACTCACTTTGACCCTATGTTTATTTTTCTTCCCTTGCACCTGAAGTTTGTGTTTTGTATAGCTGGCTCTGGGTTACCTAGTTCTTGTGTATTCGTCGTACACAGCTTCACTGTGAGTTGAGTCCTTTGGTGAGGTAGTACCTGCTGGTCTCACTCGGGATTGGAGTCCACTTGACAGCCCTGCGCCTCCCCTGTGCCACAGCCTGATGGCTTCTGAAAACTCCTTGTTAGCTTTTATTTTTGTACAGTCTTTGGGTCTCCAATACAGAGCACAGCTATGCTGACCCGACCTGGAACTTTGACTAGGCAGTGAGGTCCACACACGTCTTCTGATGTAACTGAAGGGTGATTCCAGCCCTTAGAACTAACCCTGTACTTACATTATACAGTGTGTCCTCTTCATTGTGTGCCTTTTTAAAATGTGGTGTGTTGTCTATATTTTTCTCTTTTTATGATCCTTTTAGAAAGGTTTATGTTTTCATTGTCTAGATTTACTTTTATATCTGCCCCTCAACATTTCTAGGAAATTGGTTCTAGGACACACATCCCTAGAACACATGTGTCCCCACCCCAAACCACACAAACACACTGAAGTTCTCGGAGAGTGGCCTGGTATCTGCATATTACCATCTCATCCACCACGTATGTTAAATCATTGCTGAATTACTTACAATGCCAATTGTATTGTTTAGGGAATAATGATGAGAGAGTGCACGCAGGTTCAGTACAGACAGGCTTTCTCCCAAGTATTTTCAATCCATAGTCAGTGAATCTACAGGCTGTGAACCCACAGACTTGGTGGGCTGACTGTGTTATGTTTCTTGGTGCCTTAGTCTCTGTTACTGTTCTTTGATCTTTCTATTTCTGTCTGTCAGCTTTAAGTGGTGTTATGGTCGCCACGTATTTCTATGTCACAGTCAGTGAACTTCTTTTATCTTTCCCCCGATTCATTGGCATCCTTCCTTCTTACTGCATTTACTTCTTCAGAACATAGCCTCTCTCAAGATCACTCCCATACTCCTCCATTTTTAGCCATCTTTTTGTGTTTGATCAACAGACTCACCATTTCTGGATATGCTAATTCTCCCTCTGTCTCGGCTCCCACTGTGCTGGCACAGTCTGATGTGTTCTCCTTGGTGTCTACTTTATGCTGCCAGTGCCTGGTGCCTGTAGAGCTCAAAAGACAACACGCGCATTCCCCTGGAGCCAAAGTCACAGACGATTGTCAGCTACTGTGGGGTGCTTGGAACCGAGCCCCGGGCCCTCTGCATGAGCAACAAATGCTCTTTAACTGCTGAGCCACAGCTCCAGCCCCCGTGTTCTTGAGACTCCACCTTCTTCATTTTTGATTGAATTCCCAGCACCCAGTCTGTGGCTCACAAACATTTGTAAGTTCAGTTCTAGGGAGTCTAACAGGGCTCACAAACATTTGTAAGTTCAGTTCTAGGGGGTCTAACATCCTCTTCTGGCCTCTGCAGATACTGCATATGTGTGAGGCACATACATACCAACAAAGAGAGGAGACTAACACAGGTGCCTTCCAATGTCTAGTTCCTTTGTTTCTGAGATACTCAGTTCTGCTCTCCTGTCCTTCACTTACTTCTGTAACACAGCTATTTTCCTCCATTAGCTCCCCTGAAGCACCTTTGTTCTTTTCTATTCTCACATCCCCACACCCTGGCTGGAGGCCCGGGACTTGGTGCTTTGGTCCTGAGGCCCATCTGTCTTCAATTGTGGCCTCTCTTCTGGGGTTGTGTGCTGCTAGGCCCCCCTCCCCCACTGCCACCACTGCTGTGGTTAGAACCCCACAGTGCTCCCCTTCTTTCTGCTACAGGTTTTATTGTTCTTCATGACATAGTGCTCAGCACTAGGACAGCATCTTAATGTTTTTTTGCTTCTCGCTGATTGACAGAATTCTCAATTCTGAATTGAGTACATTGCCCTTGCTTCTATGATTCTGAGGGCCTTGGATGTGGAACTGGGGGGTCGAATTATTTATTTAGTTGCTTTCTTTTTTATATCCTCATTTTAATTTTGGCATGCCACTATCTTCAGAATGCTTGTCACTAAGTGCAGAACCTTAATGAGTCATTTGTAGAGAGATGGTCTCTAGGCCTCCTGGGGATGGCAGCTGTGACAAGTGGAACAAAGGTTCACTGGGCCGCATTTTCTCCCAAAGCTTTCAGTGTGACTCTTGGGATGCTACTGTCCTAGTTCCTGAAGCACACCTGAGCATGCCACATGAGCAGGCCGTGTGGCACTCACTACCCATGACTTAAGCTTCAGTTTCCTTTTCTGTATTGTCCCATTCACCCACATGCAGGCTCCAGCCCTGGTTCCTCCCACAGTTCCAATTGTCTTCTCTGTGTGGGTACATGTGGGGTTGTGCCGTTTTAATCATCAGTGTCCTATCCGTGTGGCTCTGAGGGTGGGGAAGAGGCTGAAGATGAATACAGGCTATTTGGTTCATCTTTGGTTCCTATCCTCTAGCGCCTTGTGTGGTATTGGAGATCAAACCAGGGTTTTGTGAGTGCTAGGCAAATACTCCACACTGCTCTATGTCCCAAGCCCTTGGATTTCTGAATGAAGGTCTCACTATGTATTGTAGGCTAGCCTTGAATTTGTCATCCTCCTGATCCAGCTTTCCCAAGTGCTAGCATTACAGGCGGAAAACACCATACCTGATTATTATTTTGTTTAACGTGTGTGTGTGTGTGTGTGTGTGTGTTCATTGTTTGTGCAGTGTACGCACACATATGTACGTGCATGTGAAGATTGATATTAAGTATGTTCCAAAATTGCTCTCCATCCTATTTTTTGAGACAGAGTCTTTCACTGAAACTTACCAGTCTGGCTAGACTAGCTGGCTAACAATCCGAAGGAATCCTCCTGCCTCTACTTTTCCAGCTCGGGAATTATAAGTGTGTGCATTTTCCTTCGTATGCAGGTGCTTGGGGATGAACTCGGGTCTTCATGCTTGTAAAGCAGGCACCTTCCCAGCTGAGGCATCTCCTATCCCTTGTTTAACTTTTAAGCATTACCTTAGTTCATATCCTATATATATACACATTCAAGTGACGTTGTGTATATCCCACACACTGACTTCAGGGCCCAGCTCCACACCATGGCACTCAGAGCTCAATGCCACACTTGTGCAGCACCTTTCCCAAGTATGAGGCCCGTGAAGAAGGGTGAGGTAGATTTCTTTCCACCTTGGCTGGCATGGAGTCCCTTTGCACCAGTGTTTTCTTTTTATTTGGCTTGGAACTTTATACTCTAGGTGAGTAACACATACGTGCTGGAGACAAGCTCTCAAAACTGATGATGTAGACAATTCTGGGAAAGGGCAGACACAGCCTGGGTAGTGGCTACTATGGGTGCATTGATCTCACAGGTCCAAGCATGTGATACTGTTGTAAGTCCTTTAGATTTCCCGCTGATGACCTAGGAATGCCTTGGCTATGTACCCATAGAGTGAGTATCTAGCAGATAGCAAGGAGGACAATGGTGATGTGAGTGCCTGTGACTAGAAATTGATGTCTAGTGTTGGCACCAAACGTGAATTGAGAAAGTGAAGGGTCAAGAGCACAGGTTGAGGCTACTGTGTGACTGGAGGACACTAGCTAGTACAGAAGGTGGCTCCCGTAGCAGCCCTGCAAGGGAAAGTTAAGGAGATTGGTAAGATTACATTTGTGGACCGAGAACATGAAAAACCAGCAATGTACTTAGTGTATCATCTAACAACTATCATTTTAAACTTAGTGCCTATGAAGATGTATTTGCTAAATATTGTAAGTAGAAGATACGTATACTAAATACTCTAAGTAGAAGATACATGTATATATACTAAACATTACAAGTAGAAGATATATATGCTAAATATTATAAGCAGATCCACCATACAGATTCCCCATAGGGATCTCCTCTGGGATGCCTGTAGGGAAATGGACAGCTTCTTTGCCTCTGTCGAGCTGTTCAGACATCGTCCCGAGGTCATCTCTGCTGGTACACACCCTTCCCACATAGGCCTTAGACTTGACCGTTTCAGAAACATGTATTGCTCTGCTGAAGCGGACAAAGAAAGATGGCCAAGGGCCCAGTGCTAAGGTCAAGGCCTTGGTGCTCAGAGCTCATATCCCCTGTGTTTCTCTTTCAGGTAGGTGAGCTCCAGATAAGCCAGCCCTGCCAGAGACCTCCATTTTTGGTGGATGGTGCTCTGAGCCACAGTGTGCTTCGGTATTTGGATCTATGGACCTGTTTTGAACCATAGAGCCTGCCTATGGGGGAAGGTGAGTTGCCCCAAAGCCCCTTCTGTTTGTTTGTTTATTCATTCATCAGGCATGGTGGAAGCAAAACCAGACTCACCGTTAAGGAACATACATGCTGGCGGTACGACTGTTCTTTGTTCTGTCCTGCTCTATTGTACTCTTTCCCAGAGCTGTGAGCCAGTTATGCTTCTATACCCTCACTCAGGTCAAACCAAGGCTACCCACCCATCTCCTGGAGTTGGCCCAAGCAACGGGGAATCACGAGGCGAGCACAGGTCTAGGGAACGGAGAACAGAATCTGTGCTGGGTTACTGATGTCTGCCATGGTGTTTTAGTCCTACTCTCTGCTTTCTGATACTGTGGTAGAAAGGATTATTCATTTTTGGATTGTTCATTAGCATTCACAATGCTTTCTGATTGGGTACATGGCCGTAAAGAGAGATTTCTGCTCCTCACTGCAACTTTGGATGGATGCTTTGAGTTCTGGGAAGCAAATGACAGTGACAGAGGTAAGGACACAAGGTTATTGTCTCTATTCCAGCAGTGCCGCTTCCCTGGGCTTGCTATAGCCCAGACCTGCATGTTGAGCTGAAGTCTGATGGGGGTTCCTTGGAAAGGGTGAGAAAAGGCCACTTAGCAGTTGAGGGTCTCAGTGCACAGACCGTGTGGGCAGGCATGCGCTAGGCCCTGTACGCAGGTAGCAGTGGGCCACAGAGCAACTGACTGGAGGGTTAGTACCTGGGGAATCACTCTGAGCACCACAACACTTCTCTGCTCACCCCCTCTGTTCCTCAGGCCTGGCCTGAACCCCACTTTGGGAGCTTACCAGTCTCCAGGGAACTTCATGGATTGGCCCTTGCTGGGCCAGGCAGAGCTGGGCAGTCAAGTTGTGAGTTGTTGGTCAAGGTGTGAGAGGGTCTGCAGAGAATAAATTATATATTAGGTAGGGCCCCAGGTATGGCTGTGAATCAGAAGGAACAAAACCATCTCATTCTATGTCATGTGACTCTTCTGAAGAGTTATTTCTATTCATCCCAGGTACAGAGGGCAGTGACGGACCAAAGGAATAGTTTGATCCAATTTTACCTTGGTGAACTAATGAGTTTATTGGAATTACTTACAGCAGTATAGATAAGAGGTTCATTACAGGAGCAAGGGGAAATTATGGGTGAAAGCTGCACACCACTAAGGACTTTCTCCCTATACCTGCCACCCGGCCCTGGCAATTACTGGGGTAGAATACTTATATACCCTTGGGGAGAAGGACCTGATGAGCTTTCCACATCTTCCAGGAAGGGGCAGGGGTTGTTAAAGGGACTGATTTTGTGGCTCTTGTAAAGGTCCCATAGACGAAATCATAGATACTCTGATTTTAAGATGTTAGTGGCCATGCTATGCCTGGAAGTCAATGTCCTGTGTTGTCTAGGCTTCCCAATGCCGTGTGCCTTAATTCCCAGGTGAGACAGAGAGCTCCCTCTCCCACCTCTACCCAGAGGAGACTGGTCCTCATAGGCTCACCCACCAGAGATGGTCTGCGACAGACTGTCTCATCTCAGATCTGGGACAATTGGTGTGACCAACAAACTCTTGAAGTTCCTGGTTCCCACAGCGATGTCCCTGTGCTACCCCGAGATTACCTCTAGGACTTGCTGTGCCCATTGTGAAGGCCCCTGGTCTTTCCCAGGCACACATCCGGTGACGGAGTGGCCATGCAGGCTCATGTAGCAGAAGTCCGAGTGCTGGGATTGCAGGCATACATACCTGACATCGTTTAAGTGTTTTTGACCCAGAAATTATATGCTGTAAATATACAAGACAAAGGGGGCCCATTCCCAGAGGGTCACACCCACGTCAATCTACTACAGTTCTTGAAGCTGGACGCTCCAGGTCAAGGGGCCAGAAGGTCTGCTGGTGTCTGGTAGGGATGCCGCTGCTTCAGTGTAGAACCTCCTTCAGCACTGCGTCCTTTGTTTTCATGTGACAGGAGGACCACCTGGCTAAGAGAGCCAAACTAGTTTCCCTGAGCCTCTTGTGAGACACTAGTTGGTCAGTAGGTGACAGTAGGTTCACAGGCCCCAATACTGTCATGGTGGAGATTGAGCTAGCTATCTTTCTTGGCTTTGTCTTTTTTAAAGACAAGGTTTCACTATATAGTTCTAGTCTGGAACTTGCTGTAGACCAAGCTAGCCTTGAACTCACAGGGACCTGGATGCCTCTACCTCCTGAGTGCTGAATTTAAAGTGTGCACCACCACACCTAGCCCAGAGATTGATTTTCAGCATACATATGTGAGGGAAAACATATGCCCCAAACCTTAGCAATATTACTACAATGCTGCTCAGTAAACCAACTCAAAATATCTGGTACACACAACTATTGTAGACTTATTATAGTTCTACACACCAAACCATAAAATGGAGTGCCCGAGATCTTATTGATAAAGTGAAATATCAGGGACTTGGCACTACTACCTAAACCTAAATGCAGTAACCTAGGAAAGTATTTACCATGTGATACTAAATTCAAAAAAAGGAAGAGGACAATTGTGGGCAGTGTGGGCCTATTTTGATTAAAAGATACAGGAAAGGAACCTAGACAGTACACCTCCCAACACTGCAGATCCCAGGTTGGTGGTCTTTCTGGGGAGCACTTAATTTTGTTATTTGTCTATATTGGTTATCCATTGCTTATATTATTTGCTTGGTGAGGCTTTGGGACTCCTCTTTCTTTTCTGTGCTGTGGTGGGCATTGCAGAGTTACTAGCAATGTCTGTGCTCCAGTGACCAGCTCCTTCCACAGTGCAGTCTGCCTTCTGGGACAGCCCATAGCTCCTTCTGGCCTTCTCCGTCTCATATATGCTTGCTCATGTTGTGGTCACTAACCTCCTCTGATATTGTATAGGTAGCTAGATAAAGTTGGTGTCAGTATCAAATAGCCTGGGATAGCCGCTCTCTCCTGCTTGGGAGCAGAAATGCTTGGTTTGATGGTGGCCAACATGCATGCTGCCTGCCCCTCCATTTCAGTCTCTCATCCTTGAGCCTAGGGGTCCTGAGCTGCTGCCTGTGCACAATGCACATCCTAGCCCACATCCAGACCACATTAAACGACTTAGCGAGCTCATCCACTTCTGAGTGTATGCATAGGCTTAATTAAAGATAGTGAAGGCAAGAATTTGCAGTGTGTCATTTCAGATACCTAACCTTGGTGAGGACTCCCTGTTCACTTGGTCCCTCGAGGCCATGCAAGTGTGACTCCAGTCAATCCAAGGCAGCCTTATAGTCAGTGGCTAAGGACCTGACTCTGCCTAAGCTGTGTGTGGACGGTCAGCAAGATGGCAGTGTCTGATATGAAAAGCTGTGTCTGCATTAATGCCAACTACCCCCTCCTCACTCAGGCTGAGCTGCTATGTATATGTCCTGCAGGCACACTGACTTGTTCAGTCCTGTTGCGGGCAGGAGCCATTGAAATGACAGCCATGAGTGCTGGGTGCCCCTCCAAGGGCATAAGGGGAGCTGGGTGAAAAGTAGGTCACATGTGCTTGGGCGATGTCACGCGGTTCCCACCCCAGGCCAATGGGATGGGTGGCCTCTTTCGGTTGAGAACAAAACATCACTCTAATTTTTCTCTGTTAGCATTTCATCTTCTCTAAACGGGGAGAGTAACCATCTGTCTGGCTCCCACACCCAACTCGATCCTCTTGACCCCACAGGGCTGCTTTGTTCCGAGGTAAGGGGATTCTGTGGGCCTGGGTGAGCGGTCTGCAGAGTGAGCGGGACAGGAGGCCAAGACTGACCGAGTCCTAGCTCAAATCTCCAGGTGGTATGGCAGAGTCTGCCAAGGTCACATATGTGATGTGTTGGGGGACAGTGCTGAATGAACTACCATGATGGTGGACAGAGCTTTGCTGGGCGCTGAAGAGTGGAGTTGGGTTGTATGTACCAGCGGCTTTGGGTATTTCGATATTGGGTCCTCGGCTTTCATAAGGCAGTTCTTTTGGGGAGGACCAATGGCATTTTAATGTTCTTTACTATTGAGGTGACATTATTTGCAAAAAATAAAGCATACTATTTTACGGCTGTTTTGTGGATCAGAAATACCAAATATGGAAAGTAATATATTCCCTGCTCTTGACCATGCGAGCCATCCTTAAGAACAAGGGTCCAGTGCTCTCTGGGTCAACTAGTTCCTTCAGTCCTGTCTTTCTTAGAGACTTAAACCTCTGAAGCTACTCGGAAAGTTATTTGCTTCCACAGGTAAGAGCACTATGAAACCCAAATACCAAAAGATCTATGCACACATATTATTAATAAATGGAAAAGTATATTTTAGAGTTTAATATTTATGTTGAGCAATTTACTAATTATCTTATTGCCAGGCAGTTGAACATGATCCCCACATGGTAAAGCATATGTGAATATGTAATAATTTTTAAATATTTATAAAAACTGATATACATTTTACAGCTTATAAATAACTTGTAAGCTCAAGTGTGCCTTAGAATGTTCCAATGTGTGTGTTTGACAAGCAAGTTGCAGCATGTATGTGTTTGCAGGATCTGGTTATATCTGCCATATTCAGACACGGGGAAATGCTCCAAGAAATAGTGTATCAGAACAAGATTTGTAGCAATTTAATGAGTTTGTTCCACCAGGAATTTTTTTCTTTTCAGATGAAATTTGTTCTTATTCTAGTTCTCCAGGGAACATTGGTGCATGGCCAGCAGTGTAGGATAAGCGCAGGTACTTTGGGTTATTCGCCATTGTCCCTCTTTGTTGTGTGGTACATTAGCTATACCCTTGGTGACAAAATAGGGCTCGCAAGGACTCCTTATACAATCAAGCTACAGTGAATCCTATATGTTTTCTAAAGAGCATTTCTTTAACTACTTTTCAATCTTGAGGAAACGGAGAGTTATGTTTGCTTGTTTGGGTTTCTTGTTTGTCTAAGACAGTAGAACTGTGCATCATTTTCCTTGTTTTCAGCTGTTAATCTGAGTGTGATGCCTGGAGAAATCCCCATAC